GACTAATAAAACTATACAAAAGCAAATCCACCCCTCATAATATGGTTAGAACTCATACCAATTGCTTTTTATTGAAGCGGCAAATTAATTTTAGCTTACCAACCGGGCCTCAAGCCCAATGGTTGGTCCCCAAGCCTTAGGGCTTGGGTGAGGTGGAGATCAGGGCTTCAAGCTCTGCCACCGCCGTGAACTCCACCAACTTGCAACCTAATGGTTGCGCGCCTCATATGAGGGGGTGGAACGTTCACTATCCTGAAAAATTCAAGCGGCTAACAAAACTAACTCTACTAACTTCCTAACCATCTACCTGGTCAAAAAAATAATAATAATAATTTTAGTTAAAATTACATATATACCCTTATTTGATTACTCTTCGTTCCTGCTTATTTGTTTGTTTTCATTATTGTGCACGTTGCTTTAGTTAGTGTTTTAATATAACTTAAGAGCCTGTTTAGTATAGTGGTTAAAATTTAATTTAAAAGTCAATGAATAATAGGTAATGAGTAGCAAATAACAGTAGTAAGTAGTGGGTAGGGGTTATCAAATAGTGGAAAGTAGATAATACACAGTAGATGACGAATTCGATTAGTATAATTATTTGATTATATAATAATTTGTGATTGTTATTCAAAATTAATTGTCTAATAAGGATATATTTAAAAACAATTAAATACATTTTTTCTTTTTATATTTTTATTATTAAAATTATTAATTTTATAAAAATAATAAAAAATAAAAAACTTATAATAGTGTAATCAAACACCAATTTTTATTTTAATAAAGAAAAAATTATATTAGTTTTAAACAAAGTAAAAAAATTAAAATTTTCATTTAATTAACAAATTTATTTATCAAACTAAGATATTTTTTTATGATAAATTAATGTAAAAATGAAAATATAATAATCACTTAATATTATTAAAGATAAAAAATAAAGTTAAAACTAATAAGATAAGCACTAATTAAAAACCATGGTAAAAAATTTGAAAATTAAAATAGATAAATTTGTAAATAAAATTAAAAAATTATAATTCACTAGCAGTTTTGCTACAAAAAGCTATGTTATGTAACTTTTTCAATATACTAATGGTTTAAACCCTAATCAATATCCACTAGTCCTAAACCGTTAAATAAAAAGTTTTACCAAACATCTAATTTGTAATGGTTTCGAAATAAGTAAATTTATCAAACACTTATTTTTAGTGGTTTGAACAAAACCATTAACCGCTACTTCCAAACTGCTATACTAAATAGATACTAAGAATTACAATTGATATTTTTCTGATTAAAAGAAACTATTTAGTATTTTTTTTATTAAAAGAAACTACTTTATAAATACTATGTATTGAAAAAAGAAATTCAATCATCCATCATATTTTATATAAAAGTATCACATAAAATGCAAAATA